GGAAAGGAAGGGGCGGGGCAGGGAGATCAACCCTTGCCGGCTACATCCACGGCACCTACCTCTTCTGGCCAGACCCACCTGCTAGCAGCAAGTCCACTGTCAGCCCCTGTAATCTAGTTACATTCCAAAGACATGAGATTTCAGGGGCCACTTTAGACCTAAACCGTAACACTGTAGTTTTGTGGTCAGTGAATTCTGTCCAGGTCAAGGAGAGTTTTTGGTTACAAGCAATAGAAGCAGATTTTGGGTAATGCTTGCAAAGGTGAAATGTGTTCAGGGAGTTTATGGGATCCCAGAGAAGGCTGAAGGCCTGGATGGAAAGAGGCCAGGATCCCTGTGGCTCCTGAGGCCCAGTGAGCTAGCCAGTGGCTGCTACTGACAGGTTGTTAGGGTGATGATTGACCCCGGGATCCTCTAGTCTTCCCATTGTCCTCTTTCTGCTCACTCTGGGGACCCAGAGTCCTGTCCTTGCCTTTTGAGCACCTCCCTTGAACTGTGGGCTGGGAGGGTGGAAGGCTCCTGATAAAGTGTTTCCAGGCTGATTTGAAGAGAAGGTGGAGGATAAATCAAATCAAAATTGACCTGATGCTTGGGACAGAAGGGGTGGGAGCTGGTAGCCAAGTCCCAGAAGTGTCCATTGGAGATGAGCCACCATAATCTAGGAGAAATGAATATTCCATTTGCTTACTTGATATCATCATGTTATGAAAATAATTTGAGCCTAAGAAAATCTACATTTAGTAGTTTCTCAAAAATGTGAAGCACTGCATCTTTTTCATTGATTACATCTTTGTGAGGGAAGAGAAAGTCTCTCCCTGGCAGTAGCTTTCACTGGCTGCACCGCTGCCTGCTCCCACTTGGAGGGCCCTTTCGGTGTTTGCTGGCATAAATGGAGTTGCTCCTTCATTCTCTCTGCCCCCTGCCATGCTCACGGTGCTTTATCCTCATAGGTTTGGGTATTTATAGAATGAAAACAAAGCAAAACTTTTAGTGTCCGTTGAGTGAGGATTTGGGACTGAAACTTAAGGCGTACCTCGTTCTTTCATCTCAGTCATGTGTCAGAGAGGATCCTTTTAGTGTTTCCAGTGTTGGGGCTCCAGCTGAGAGACAGCTGCTCCCTATTTCATGCTGGTCAGCGGTAGCCCCAGTATGTGGCACATCCAGGATGTGGATGACATTTTACATACATCTCTCTGCAGAATTGTCCTCTGACTTTTAACTGTCTTTCATTTTAAAGACTCAGTTTTTGCCAAGAAATTTTTTAAAAATCCAGTTTGATTTTTATTTTCATTTTAAATTTTAAACCATGCAAGTCAATAAGGTTTTGCTCAATGAAAACAACATTTACAATTCTATTAGAAGAAATAGGAGCCATTAGGCAATGCAATCAATTTTTATATCTATTTGAAGTTAGTTCTTACAAGATTATTTATTCAGAAACCAGAGGGTGGTTATCTTTGTTCTTTATAATGTAGAGTACCATAGAGTTTTGCCAGCTGTCTGGCCTTAACTTATTTTAGATTTGCAACTATAATGAAATATTTATGAAACAACACAATTAATATTCATTGATACCTCAACTCAAATAAGTACATTTAGGTGATGTGCATATGATGGTTTTATGAACTGCAAAAGCCAAAGTCATTTTCTAAAAGAGGTAGAAATTCTGTCCCAGCGTATCTGGAAAGATGCTGTGTGTGCCACAGTGCTCAGTCAAGACTGCGGGGTTCTCACTTAGCTTCAATATAGTGATGCTTCAGAGCAGTGTATTCTGCAAACATACGCTGACTGAAGCAGCTGCCCTACTAGAGGGATGGATAACTTGCAAGCAGCTCCTGCCTTGCTTATAACTTATGGGGAAGCTTGAAATAGGTACTTACCCATCTGTGTATCAGTTTCCTCATTTTAACCTGGGCTGGGCTACTGTATTGATCTGTTCAGGTCCCCAAGGCAAAATACCATAGGCTGGTGTTATGGTTTGTGTCTAGTTGTCCCCGCAAAGCCTCATGCAGTCACTGGGGCAGGCTTCTCAGTTCATGCTCAATTCATGTTCCAATGTTGGGATTATGGGTGTGAGTGCTACCCCCACCCTGGGGCAGATAATCTGCGTACAAGTAAGGACGGGAGAGAGGCTTTCTAGCTGCCACAGCTGCTGCTCTTCCCTTTGCTCTTTATTGTTTTCTGCCACCATGAAGGGCTGCCCTCTGCCACGTGCCACTCTGCCTTGGAGCCAGCCGAGTATGGACTGAAACCTCCACTAACTGTGAGCTAAATGAACCCTTCCTTCCTCCCTTAATGTTGGATGTCGGGTGTTTTTTCCCAGCAACGAGAGAAAAGTAACCCAGACAGCCGGGTAGTGTAAAGAGCAGAGATTCTGTTCTCTCAGTTTGGAGGCTGGAAGCCCCAGAGCAGGATTGACTTGGTGGCCTGTCTTGGTGGTTTCCTCGTAGTGGCCTCTGTGTGTTCGGTGTTGGCTTGTGGACGTGTGGAAAGAGAGACAGCTGCAGAACCCTGCTCTCTTCTTACAGTGACATCTTTCCTATCTGGTTAGGGGGCTCGACCCTTGTGACAAGAAGCAAGCTCAGCCCCCCTGGGGGCAGGGACTTCAGCACATGAAATTTTGTGCAGTGTTGGTTTGGTCAGGATATGCTTGCAGATCAGTGAGTTGGAAGCATCGCTGTCAGGGGTCTAATCTACAGATACGATTATCCCTGGAAAGGAATGAGACATTCTGTTCATCACAGAACACTGCTGATGCACAGGCATGCGCGTGTGTGTGTGTGTGTGCGCACGCGCACTTCTTCACACAAAAGAGTTCTCCAGTAAAAACACATTGCCATTAATCACCCTTAAAATAGTCCCACTCATTTATTCCATCATTCAATATTTTTTTATGTATTTAGGACAGGGTCTACAGGGTCTCATTACACAGATTGGACTTGTAGTGATCCTCCTGTTTTCAGCCTCCTAGGTGCTGAGATCACAGACCCGTGCCACCACGCCCAGTCTCAATCAACAGCTCAGCAAACCCCGGGGGCAGGGCCAGCATGGCACTCAAGGGATTGAACCCCGGCTGCTGCGCTGTGCCCAAGCAAGTGCTTTAGTCCACTGAGCTATCTGGCCAGCCCTCGATGTTTTTTAAAAGAAAAACAATTTCAACATTCCCTGTAGTTTTCTGTGACTCCTTACATAATCAGACTTTATTACAGTGCCTCGTCCTGCATGAGATTCTGCAGGTAGAATTTTTACTTGATTTAACTAAAGTTTATATCACCCGTGTGCTTGTCTACTAAATAGGGTACACACTGTTATCAGTTACTATCTTTGAAAACAGCCAGTACCCAAGTGCCTGTCCATAACCTGAAACTTGGACTCAGCAGAGGCCTCTGTCAGCACTTCCCAAGGGCTTGCCCAGGCCCAGTGTGCCTCCAGGGTGCTTAGTAGTTCATAAATCCCAGGGGCCCGTGTGAGTTATACATGACTTTTTTGTTGCAGCTTTATAGATAGGGGGGCTGCGATATGAAGACAGGAGGCCATCCCAGAACCCCAGAATCTGTATGCGTAGCCTCAAAGTGCTTCTCTGATTCTATCAGTATGATAGATTCACTATGTCACTTTTATCAAATTAGGTGATGCAACACATAAAGATACCCTTAAGACCTAATGACGTCCCAGTCTCTTCCAGGGTCCTTGGTGTAGTTAGGGTCCTAATTGTGGACATTTTCTTGAGGTGGAGATAGAAAGTCCTTAGTCCCATCCTTCTTGTATTCTCAAATAGACAGTCTAATTAGTAGTGACAAGTGGATTCATTATACATTGCCTCCTTTTCTGAGGAGGAGGAAGGCTTTGGCACATGTCAGCAGACTACCTCGAGAGGAGGGGCCCCTCAGCATTCATTTCCGTGCGGATTCCTGATAGCTTCCGGTGATCATCCTGTTGTATGGGCTAGCTTTTACTTCAGTGAAGCTGACCACAAGAGCAGTGTGTGTGTGTGTGTGTGTGTGTGCGCGCGCGCGCGTGTGCACGTGCGTGTGCACATACCCCACCGTGGAGGCTCTCACAGTAGGAGAAGAGTGGGTCCCCTGTGCTCTTGCTGGCCCTGGTGTGGCCGAAATCATGTGTCCCTGTAACTGTAGGACCCAGGCAGAAAGCGTTGCAGTGCCTAATCTTTCAAGTCTCAGAAGCTTTGGATTCTCTCTATTCGTTACATCCTTGCTTACCTCAGCAAATTCTGTTTGACTTGAGCTTCAACATTTCTCTTTTTTTCTAATGAAATGCAACCAGTAGCACTCTCAGTCTAACTCGAAAAACCTGAGCGTAAAGGTCCAATTAGAAATACTTCTCCCAGTTTATCAAACATTTTGCTATGAATATTTGGGCCGCCATTTTTAATGTCTCCAGAAGCGTTTTCCTTGCTGCACGCTTTTTGACCTGGAAGCCAGCGTCACATATTGTGGTTTCTGCTGCTGTAGCAGCTCAGCACCCATGTGGTAATTTCTGTAACACCCAGTCACTGGAGATTCTTCGGGAAGGAAGGGGGCAGGGAGGACGGCAGGGGACATGGGAAGGCATGATCAAGCATGTGATATGCATGGATGACTATGCCACAGCCAAGTCCATTGTCCTGTGTAATTAATGTGCATTAATAAAGAAAACATAAAAAGGCCATTGCTGGCGTGGCAGGCTGCCCTGCTGGCTCAGGGCTGACACCAGCACACATGGTTTGTGCTTTACGGTGTGTGAGTGCTTTGAGGTCGCTGCTGTATTCTGCTTCTGGCTTGGCTCAGTCCAGCTTATTTTCTCATTCTGGAACCCAAGGTGAAGGAGCAGTGGCTCTCTGGGGTCCCCTTTCCCCATACTAAAGTACCTTAGCAAGAGGCAGAGCTGCATCAACAGCCTCATTTACATTGCATTTGATCAAAGCAAGTCTGTTGATTAATCCCAAGGGGTAGGGAAGGTACGCTCAATCCATAGGGCTGCCTGCCTGGGGGGAAACACACGGAACCCGGTCCAGTAGGCTGCCTCAGCCAGGCTTTGACCTTGCTGGCTCTCTAACCTAAAATTGTGTTTTCTCTTTCTTCCCCCCTTTGTTTATGTTGATCTTTGGAGGTTCAGGAATGAATGAGGATTCCAAGGACATAACAGCCTACCACACAGTGTTTCTTACAGCCATATTGGGAGGAACAATTGTCATTGTCATTGGATTTTTTGCTGTACTCCTTTGTTACTGCAGGTAAGAACAACATTAACCAATAATGGTTACATTAGAGTATCACTTCAGTACTGTCCATGTATGGCAGTTTATGTGGAAAAATGAGTGTAGTCTTTTAAGTCATGCAGAAGAGAGAGCAAAAGCATTATATCCCAACAGTAGCATGGCATGGGTAGTGTGCGTATTGTGGTCTTAATTTACAAAGCTGAGCCTGCTAGCTCATAACTCTTGAATAACTTCATATTCTCTTCTGCTATAGGGATAAGTGTGGTACTCCACCAAAAAGAGAAAGAAATATCACTAAACTTGAAGTCCTCAAAAGAGACCAGACCACTTCAACGACACACATTAATCACATTAGTTCAGTCAAAGTGGCATTGAAACCTGAGGACAAGTCACAATTATTCAATGCCCCCAACCCTTCCTACAGCCCTCAGAAGAAGGAACCGTCAAAGGCAGAAGCAGAAGAAAGAGTTTCCATGGTAAAAACTCGGGACACTTTTAAAATCTACAATGAAGATGTTTCATTTCTATCAGCCAATGAAAACAGTTACTCAAGAAAACCGGGGCAGTCCTTGGCGCCCAGTACGGGGCCGAGGCAGCCCAGACACCTTCACAGCAGCCTGTCTTCTTCATTAGGTGGTGCCTCTGAGGAAAAGCGGTATCTCACGGGGACGGAGGAGGGGTACGGGTGCTCCCAGATTCCTGAACAGCTCATGCATATCTACAGCCAGCCCATCGCCATCCTGCAAACCTCGGACCTTTTCTCCACCCCAGAGCAGCTACACACTGCCAAGTCTGCCACTTTGCCAAGAAAGGGACAGTTAGTCTATGGCCAACTGATGGAGCCAGTAAACAGAGAGAACTTTACACAGACATTGCCCAAAATGCCAATGCATTCTCACGCCCAGCCCCCGGATGCCCGGGAGGAGGACATGGTGCTGGAGGGTCAACAGAGTCTGCCATCCCAGACCTCAGACTGGAGCCGCTATTCCAATAGCCTCCTGGAGTCCGTCTCTGTGCCCGGAACCCTGAATGAAGCTGTCGTCATGACTCCATTTTCCTCTGAGCTTCAGGGCATTTCAGAACAGACTCTCCTGGAGCTCTCCAAAGGAAAGCCCTCCCCTCACCCCAGAGCTTGGTTTGTGTCTCTTGATGGAAAGCCAGTTGCGCAAGTGAGGCACTCCTTCATAGACCTGAAAAAGGGCAAGCGAACCCAGAGCAATGACACCAGTCTCGACTCCGGGGTGGACATGAATGAGCATCACTCGAGCAGGAAGCTGGAGAGGGAGAGGACCTTCATCAAGAGCATGCACCAGCCCAAGATCCTGTACTTAGAAGACCTAGACCTGAGCAGCAGCGAGAGCGGCACCACCGTCTGCTCCCCGGAGGACCCCGCGTTGAGGCACATCCTGGATGGAGGGAGTGCGGTCATTGTGGAGCACCCGGGGGAGGAGTCCCCGGGAAGAAAGAGCGCTGCGGAAGATTTCGAAGCCAACACTTCCCCCACTAAAAAGAGGGGCCGACCTCCACTCGCCAAGAGAGATAGCAAGACGAACATCTGGAAGAAGCGAGAAGAGCGCCCTCTGATTCCCATCAATTAGCTCGTGAGGAGTTGCGTTCCCGCATCTTGCGTCCTGTGTTCTTGCTGCTTCTTGTGAATCGCAGTATGAACTTCAGAAATTGGGACTGAGCCATCTTACGGTTCCTGGACGTGGCTCAAGCAGGGTCAATCGCAGAAGGATAATTCAGTCAGTCATCAGAGAGAAAGATCCCAAGGGAAGGTGTTTCTGGCCTGTTCTTTTCTTTTTAAGTGATGAATTTGAAGTATCTAAGTTTTCAAAACATAAAATAGTGTTGAGATGTTAGTTGATCTGTTTGCCAATTCAGCACTGACTCTTTTAAGAGGAAGAGTAAACCGTGACCTCCCAAAGTTGCACCCCCAGATGTCACCTCTGCCTTGATGGCGACCCTGTGGAACATTTAGAAATGAAACCTCTCCAGGCATTATCCTTGTGAAATGTTACAGTTATGTCCTCCTTCACCTAGACTTAAAAAACAACTTGATAAAGGTTTGGACTGTTGTTATCCTAGAGTTTAAAGAGCAAACAACATTTTCTTTGTTTGAGATAAATAGCATGTGTATTGTATCACCCCAGAAGTAAACTCTACACTCATGTAAAATGGGCAAGAATCTTCTTGGTCATTAGGCGGAGTTGTTTTTGAACATAACGTCACAGAATAGAGACGGTGTTGATTTGTTGTATGGAAATTTGAGAAATGAATAGTCTGATACTGGATTTTTAAAATTTTTAATCTATTCCTTTTTCCTCCCCTCAAGGATTAAGTGACCTTAGCTAAGAAGGAACTTGTTTTTTCTTTTAACTAATCCAAAAATCAAAACAAGACAAAACTATGACACTGTAAATTAAAATCAACTTTAACATTTGCTGTTTCAAAATCCCAACCTAAGTCACTTATAGGCTATCAGGCTTGACTTAGAAATATGATCTGAGAGTTGTTTGTGAACAGCAAAATGTTAACAAGTTACATGGAGATAAATTACACGTCTCACCTCGAGTTGCAAAAAAAAAAGAAAAGCCATTTTTTTCTGAGGCTCAGAAATGTTTTCAGGATGCTAAGTATATACAGAGAGGTATCCATTTTTAAAGGAAAAGACAGTTTTTGAGAAAAGTGTTTCAATTTCAGGAGAAATGCGAATTTTTCTTTTTATCACTTTTTTTTTCAACTTTTTCTCCTTGGTTTTAGAATTACTATGTCAAAATCTTTTTTCTTTTTCATACACAGAATTTAGTGTGAACACATTTTTACTTGCTTTGCATTTTGTCTCAACTCTGAAGTATCATTCATATGTCCTAAAAATAAAAGCTCTTGTCAATTAAAATCAGCCAACCCCATTTTTCTTAAAAATTTCCATGAAGACATGTCTCTAACATCTTTTCCTTCCCCTTGGTGGAAAAATAATGAAATTGCTCTATTTATCATCCTCTTCTGTTCAACATAGAAATTCAAGCCACCTAAACAAGTTGAAAGAACCAAAATAGCCACCCTAGCTTTAGTAACATTGGAGATGGATACGCAGTGGAAGAAAACATCTTTTTCCCTTGAGATAGTCCATTTCAGCCAGGAGTTTCCCGTAACCACTTTTGAAACATCTAATTGGTCAGATAACTCTTCTACTTTCTGTATTATCCCAAAGAACTTAAAGATAGGCATTTGCATAATGTACTATAATTACCCTAATTCACAGAAGAGATAAACATTTTGGGCCAACATGGACTTGCTTTGTTTGTTTGTTTTCAAGTAGTGTTGAGGTTTACATTTTAGAGGAGGTTTGTGTTAGTCTTATACAGAAAGATTTATTAAAAGGACAAGGAATAGAGATGATTTGATTTGAAGGTTAAAGAATTAAGTGTTCTATGGAAGTGCCTTTGATCCAGACTTGCATTAACAGAAGGATACAATAACATCTTTCTTCAGTACACGTTTTCTCTCTTAAGACAAATTCAACAGATGTGCAGTTTTTATTAAAAAAATATGGACCTTGTGTTTCATGTTGGAACAAAGATTTTTGCATGTAAGTAACGGTTCTTTTTGTGTTTAGTCCTTTTTGTAAATTCATATTGATAAATTATTTATGTTGGAATGAAGGTAGAAACTATATAGCAAAATGTTACACCTTCTCAATATTTGAAATGGGTACTTCCCACCTTTAAAAATGTTTCATCTCTCATCTTGGATATGAAATACACATACTGGTATGTGGGTGTATCTTCTAGACGCGTAGTTTATTTTATTTATTCTTTTGCAAGGGAAAGAAATAACACACTCCAACGGCTTTTCTAGAACTTTTTGTTTGGTTTCAGAAAAAAAAGAAAAAATTCTCCTTTAGCTTCTGTAATTCCCACTTCTTTCCGTCTCACTTCTCCTCCTGTGTCACTGCACGTACTGTTTTTGATTGGAAACTTAGGCAGTTTAACTTTTCTAAAGATCAAAAGTGTGGTTTCTCATGTGTGAGAAACTCACAAATTTCCTGTTAAAAAACCGAAGCCATCTACTTTTTCTTAATCCAATGACAATACACAAACAATATTCACTACTTTCTTAAATTTTTAAATTGAAAACTTAACAGTTTTTCTGCAAGTAGAAATCTAGATCATTTTGGTTACAAACTGTTAGCATTTGGGGAGCCTTTGTACATACTCTGGATATATCTTACAGGTAAAATGGCGCTCAGTTCACCGACGGTTTCATTTACTAAAACATAGCTATATGTATTTTTGAATACATATGATCTTGAGACTTTATAAAATCAATTTTTATGACTTTATGCAGTTTATGAAGATGATGCCCTTTTATAATGCACAGTACACCATGAAGATCAGAAATGTTGAAGAAGGAAAGAACCTACTTACTTTGGCAATCACTTTAGATTTCTTTCCGTGTGTTCAAATCCTCCAGTATCAACACATATTATAGGGTTTTATAAGTCTGCGGGTCAAATAATGAGTCACAAAGCTTCCCAGAAGGGTGAACCTCGGAGTCATGCATTCATTTATAAGGTATGGGTTGCTCATTTTCCATGCGCTGACTTTGTAAAGGCTTTTGATTGCATTCATTTGCATTTCAGACCTAGAGTTGACATTTTGCCCTCTCGTTTCCAAGTGTTTCTATCTTTTGTATTCTTCAGAGAAATCTCATATTTTAGTGTATTTATTGCCCTTATTTCTGTATTTACTGCTGAAAACTGTACCAGTCTGAAGCTTTGTAAAATGTTAAACATAGCTCATTAAAGGTAAGACACATAAAAGTGGACTCGATGCGTTTTAGTTAGGGTAAAATGCAAAAGTTGCCTCCATTTGTTGTCCTTTAATCTTGTAAGCAGCCACTTACATTCTGCTGGTTAAAATGCACACAGCAAAAGAAACCCTATGTTTGCGTGATGACCGTGGTAGCACTTTGTGTCATCTTGTGACTTCTGCCTCCAGAAGTCACATTTTCACCGTGAAAGCTTCCTGTAGACATACTGTTTGCCATCCACCACAATTAATATTGTTATAATTTTAAACAACTTATCATTCCTAAAACAGCAAGGTGGAAACTTGAAACCCCTCATTCCATTTTTAGAGCATTCTTTGGATGTTAAATCTAAGACTAAAAGATAACATGAAGGAGATTCACGATTAGAACATTACCTCGGCAAAAGCCTCTGTTCAATCTGTTGAACAAAATTTAAATTCAAGAAGTTTGCATTCAGGAGATTTGGAATAGTCCTCCCCTCCGCAAGGTCTTATATATTCCAACCCAACCTTGAACTCACTGGGTAAGCCAGGATGGCCTTGAATGCATGGAGACCTTCCTGCCTCTGCTGCCTGAGTGCTGGCCTTACATTACATGCCTGGTTTAGAGTAGTCTTGAAAATCATCATGGTTGTCATGTTTCTAGATATTTTGAATCACTTTCATATGTTTTTACTGTGAATACCTTTGGTCTGTTCTGACGGGACTAGGATCTGAATCCACTGCAAATACAGTGGTACAGACAGTATGATTGCCACCCTGGCACGACGACAGAGACTCCACTGGGAGCCCTGAGTGTCCAGCCAGCCTGTGTGTCCACCCCAGGGCCTGGTCTCCGCCTGGGAGGGCCCTGAAGGCTCAGCAGTACTCTGTCTCGTGGAGCAGTCGTGAGAGCCCGCACAGAGCATAGTTGCTACATCACAGTCAGAAGCGTAACTACCTATGTGCCGTTCCCGAGCAGGTTGTCCTGTTCTCGTCTCGAAAAGGAATATGGCAAGAATCACGGAATATACAAAATAGTCATTCATTTGTATCCCCCCCCCTTTTTTGTCATTTAATTATAGGTGTGTGAATTCAACAAAATATTCCAATATAGTCTAGTAGTCCATAATAGTAGTGGGTTTTACGTAAGACTGGCAATGTCAGAAGTTGTTGACTTGAACCTTTTACAGCTCAGCATATTAATATGGCTTTACTTTTTATACTTCATTTTTATACTTTCCTGCTGAATGATTAAGACCAAGATAAAGGAAGACCTATATAATAAGAAATGTAACTTTTGTATCTGACAAGGTCAGTCAAATCCCCTCAGGATTTATCCTGAGATCCTGTACCTCAGTTTGTAGATCCTTTGTCAGTGTCAGCCATGTGGATGAGTCACGGCCATTGCTTGACCAATTTGCTCTCTGTGAAAGCCTGAGAGAATGTTTTCTCTCCATGTGACTCTCCTTAGGCACACTCTACATCATATCATGTCTGTATCTTGTGCAATGAATAACCACTAAGACAACAATATGCAATGTATTAATCATTGAAACTGTCCTACTAATCGGATTTGAAACTGTCTCATTGCTATTTGTTTCTCAATAAAATTATGGAAAAAAATCCCAAACAAACAACAAAAAAAACCCTATTTACCACAAAAAGTAAAGGTAATACAAGATTGATTTTCTTTGGGGAAAAGAAAAAAGAATGACAGGAGATGTACGAGTTACAGGGAGGGGAGTTGGCTGCACACCAGGTATTTTAATGAGCTCTTAAAAGCAGTTCACCTGGCAGTTGTTAATAATCGTGACAGACAAGCAGTGACCCTTCCTTTGGGCTACACATTGGAAATGTTAATCTGCACCACAGTGGTACTTCGTGTAGGCTCCACAAGTCACCTTGTGGCCACCTTTTTATAGGTAGATGTTATCAGGGGCCACAGTGAGATGCTTTATGGCCCTGATAAGCTCTTATTTTGAGCTTCAATTTTATTGGGATCATAAACGTCTGGCTGCTGAATTAAGTTTTTTATTTTCTGAATTACCTTCAGAATTTGATGAAGGTTTTTAATGAAGCTGTCTAATATAATAACCTCAGAGACTCCTGGGAATGTAATTACCTGATTTGCTTAAAATATTACAGAAATAAGTTACAATTTGGGCCGGCCACGGAGCTCAGTGGATTAAAGCACCTGCTTGGGCAGATGCAGGGACAGAGGTTTGATGCAGGGATCGGGGTTTGATCCCTGGTAACTGATAAGGGGTGTGGTGGCACATACCTGTAATCCCAGCACTTGGGAGGCTGAAAACAAGATGAGCACTACGAATCCGATCTATGGTGTGAGACCCTGTGGACCCTGTACTGAAATACATTTAACAAATCAATATAAGGGAGTGCTGGGCATGGTGGCGCACACCTGTAATTCCAGGACTTGAGAAGTAGAGCAGGAGGATCACCATGAGTTCAGGGCCAGCCTGGGATATCTACTGAGAACCTTTCTCAAAAAACCACACACACACACACACACACACACACGCACACACGCACACACACATATAGAGCACTTCTTAAGAAAAAATGAGAACTGTTTTCTTTCTTGAAACAACTATGTTAAAGAACACAGTTTGTATTACCTGTGCTGTTTCTCAAAGGTGATATTTTCTGCATAGGTGAATCCCTTTTTACCATTTCATCAGGACAGTCACGCAGTTGAACAGTGAGCATCTGCTGACGAAACCTTGCCCAGCTGAATGCTTTAGCTTGCTCTGTGTGTGAGAAGTATTCAGGGAGACTCC